TTTTTTATTAGACCTTATTACAGCTACCACCTGCTATGGTGGAAGAAGGTGAGGAAGTTCAAAGTCAGGAAACAGAATTGGAAACAGAAGAAGAGGGCATGCTTGCTCAAGCTGACATGCCCAGTCTAACAGACGCCAGCTTCAGTCAAGAAACGTTAGCCTCTCAGACTGAGCCTGCCTCCAGTCAGACTGCACCCGCCTCCAATCAGACTGTGCCCACCGCCAATCAGACTGCGCTCGCCTCCAATCAGACTGCATCCTCCTCCAATCAGACTGCGCCCACCGCCAATCAGACTGAGCTCACCCCCAATCAGACAGGAGCTAGTTCCAATCCGGAAGCCATCTCTGTTCTATCTGAGATCCCTGCTGCTGTGGCAGGACCTGAGGCTAATACTCATCAAGATGCCACATCTGCCCCAGAGGCGACCAAGTAGCCAAATGGTAGCCTTTTTTAGGACATTTCATTCATAAAGTCTAATTAAATAAAGCTAGTTTTTGTATTTTATATTTGCTTTTGCCATTTTAAAGGTGATAATTAATGTTCAGTCCTTATTTTTGTTAACTGATTTCAATGTTCTTGGATATATTTTTTAAATGTATGTGTATGAACAACTCTGGTTTCATTTGTTCAAACAGAAGGGCAGATAATCATTCCTTTGATATTTCTATTAACTGAATGTATCTTTAATCATACCTACATTAAAAGAATTTTCTATAGAATGTATAAAACATACTTTACATTTTTAGTGAACTTCTCTAAAGAAAAGGACAGAATACACTGGAACTAACCATAAATACCCTTAAGCAAGTGTTGAAATTGGGGAAGAAATAGTTTCTTCTATCATAATATGAGAGGCTCAAGTTGTGTTTCCTTTTTTTTTTAAACCATTCTTTGCTGTCTTCCTTGATGTAAAGGCATTAACAACCGTAAGATGTAGGTTTCTCAAGTCCATCAAAGAGGTAACGTGTTTCCTTCACCAAAATTTCCCAATGTGTCAGAATCACCTAGGGCATCTGTTTCTTTTGGGGGCCACTCTAGACCTAATGACTCAGAATCTCGGGTTTAGTGCCCAGGAATCTGTACTTTAACAGGCG